TGCCCGGAGAACAAAAGAGAGAGAAACAGACGCAAGGGACAAAGTGTGAGGCACACGAGCCGTTAGAGACAAAGCAAACTGTAGAGCCGTACCCACAGACAGGACAAACCACCTGAAGAGCTGGTTCCAAAGAAATATGTACCTGAAGAAGCGGCATGAGTTTGTTCCGAGTAAAGAGAAGGCGGCAAAAACCAGCGGTCCTTGTCACATCTCGGTCTTTTGCTCTTATCGTACTTCTAAAATGGGCTAAACCAGCAACAGGAAGGAAGCGTTTGCGCTGCAGTGTGTGTCTGGGCTGTGTGTGTGCACGCGTTAGTGTGGGCGAGTGGGTGGTATGAGCATGGGGGAGGGAAGCAGCTGGCGTTGAACTTGAAGCAGCACATCTTTTTCTCTGTGTTTGTGGTTTCAGGGCCTTTACACTCCCAATCCGCCCGGCGTGGCTGTGAAACGGGGGGAGCAAAGGACAGAACTCCAAACCCGGGGCAGCTCCTCTCTTTGTTCCTCTCCTCATAGCCTACCTTGTTTTTTCCCCTCCTTCCTCGTCCTCAGCCTCCTTCATTTCTTTGAACTGCACAGCCTCCTCTCTTTTAACTCCCTGCCCGAGCTGGCTCAAGTCTCCCGCTCTTCTCCCCCTGGCGTCTCTGGGTTCGGGCTGAATTCTGGCTCCCTTCATGCAGGTGAACCGCGGCCGTCCCCTCGCAACTGTCGAATTTAAGCCGTAAGCGCCGTTGCCACACATATGCACGTACCCTCCGCTCTTTGTTCTTAAGATTGCGCTTTGTGGCGCGATAGATCTCGCTTTGTGAACCTATCGCTTCCAAGGAATTAATTGTAATCTCTCTTACAGCTCCTCCGTTCTAAAGCCCATTAATCCTCAGTTTGCCTCTGCAGGCTTACGGTTCCTGTTTTTTTTTGTTGTTTGCTTTATCATATACCATGTCAAACAAGAGCAGGGGCCTCTGTGTGAGCTGGTGTGTGTGTGTGTGTGTGTTTGTGTGTGAGAGAGATAGAGGCTCAGCGTGCTCGGGTCACTTATCACAGGAAGCACAGCTCAGTTAGGAGGAACCGCTTCCTGACATCTTGTGCCAAAACACTGCCAGCATCTCTGCCAAGTGAGGCCTTTTTTATGTTCGGCTTCCTCTCATGTTCTCAATTGTTCGGTTCTGAGTGATTTCCCCGAAAAACTGGGCGAAGCGTAGACCCGAAGCCAACTTGTTTATCAGAAGAGTTTACGATATTGTTTTCGCATAATCAACTAAGAGTCGAGGAAAACTGCTCACGTCTGGTTTTGGATTATTGATCAGGACCTCTGCGGATGTTGCCTGACAAATAAAGCACACAGCTCTCCATTTTTTTAACGATTCTTCGACGTGAAGTGAAGGAAACACTATAAATAGTATAGACATGGATCACACTGCTTTTTATCAGCACGCCGTTCGGAAGTCAGCATCTTCGACGGCGTGGGGCTGCGTGATAAATACGGCTTTTTGGGCAACACTCGGCTTTATTTAGGCAGCATTTTTCTCAAGGAGGCCCAGCTTGTTTCAGCGAACCAGAGGCGGAGCACATTCAGCATATGTAACAACCCTAACCTTATTAGCGGCACAAAAGGTTAAAGGAGCAGGGCTTCCCTTTTTTCTTCCCCCTGTTCTTTTTACACCTGTAAAACCTAAGCGAATTAAACATTAAACGCTAGTCTTTGTTGGTGGGGTGTTACAGCCAAATGGGACGTGCGTGTCGGTTCTCTTTTCTTTGAATGGCGGCCACCGCTGCCCGACCGCGGTGCCATGTGCGTGTGCTCATTGTCGGCGTGCCCTGCAGGCTGCTGAGCCCATGGAGGACTCTCCAAGTACGGAGCCTTTGTTCATCTGCAGTCTGGTCACATAGGTTCGTCTCCGTGGCCCCGGCACCGGGATCCGAGTCTGTGAAGTGGCTGCCAGGCCCCAGAGGATACCGATAAGCCCCCCATAACATTCATTCCCCAATTTGCCTGTGCATGTGTGTGTGTGTGTGTGAAAGACAGAGAGAAAGAGACTGCGATAGAAAGAGCAAGGGTGTTTTTGACAGAAAGGAGTGGAGCGTGTATGTATGTGTGTGTCTGTGTGTGTGTGTGTGTGTGTGTGTGAACTAGGCCAGGCTGATAACAGCATGGCGGGTGAGAGAGAAGCTGATAAGCCCCCTCTTGTTGCTTGGGGTAACCGGGCCTTGTTTAACGAACGCAGTGAAATATGGTTTGTGTGTGGAAAGAGTGTGTACGGCGCAGGAGCCGGAGACCCGGAATCCACGGTGGAGGCGGTCACAGAGCTTTTTACAGCTTCCCCTGTGTGCAGGTACGTGTGAGGGCTCCACACAATACAAATCAAGTCCTTACAAACTGTCCTTTTTTTGTACAAAAGCAAAAAAAAATTGTGTCTCCTTCTTCGTACATCAGACAGCCACGCTCAGAAACTTACAAAGTTTCAGAGGAGTACTTTCACTTTCACTCTTCAGCACATGTAGCCAAAAGTAGAGACTCAAAGGCTGACGTTTTTCCTTTAGACGTTACAGGATATTCTGGGTGAAAAGTAGAGTGCTTACCGTGTGATTAAAGCCTGGGTCTGTTTGACAGAGCAGCAGCTGTCCAGAGGATCCAGGAGAGCTGCTTTCATTTGGCAAACACTGAGCCTCCAGATATGAGATCAGTTTTCGTCCCGTGAAAGGTGAGTCACCGGCCAAAGTGGCAAACAGACATAAGATCAGTGGCGGGCGGAGTACCTGTTGAGCTTCTCTGGAGTCCTCATCAGAACGTAGTTCCCCTTTTTCCCCCCCCTCCAGATAACTGAGAATCCACTCCCCCCTCCACCCTGTCCTGTGAGATCTGATTGGTCACCTGTGTTGTTAGTTAAGGTTTGCCATAGTGACCATTGTCATTGCGGACCAAATGTAAACACAGGTTTATTTGCAATGTAAAGCAGCAGAGGACTGAGCTACCTATCTGCAAACAGACATATTTTACATGAGGGCATACACAGGCGGGCTGTGATCTCCTGATTAGTAACATTAGCCAGGATCAAATTTATGAATTTAAAATTCAGTGTGAAATACGCTATGATTATTAGAAAAGATAAATCAAATGTCAGGCTTTTAAATAGAGACTAAATATGTCACCATAGGGCCGTGAGACAGGAATGGTGGCATAAGAGAGGGTTATTCTATGCAAAAGTCCCTGACGCCCCCTAGTGGCAAAGCTCTGCACCAACGCCCCCAAAACGGGGTCAGTTGCATCCTTTTCTTTCCATGTTTTCTGTTTTAAAAATCACACGACAAGTAAAACAGACTGGCAGACCATTCATCCCCAAAAGTGTTCTTCACTGATCTTTCGGAGTCTGCTAAAGGTTATCGTTGATTCTTGGAAATCAGCAGTTTTCTCACGAGAGCAGCAACCTTCTGCTGGCAGCCCTGCTGTCTCTGGAAACTGTCACGGCGGCGAGGGTTGGATAACTAAGCCCTCTGTAAAAGCCTTAACTATCATGACGTGTAAAATCATCTTATCTGTAGATAAGAATCAAAAGATCCAGCTTTGCCGATCAGCCAGCTGTGTTCAGTGTTTGATTTTTTTCCTGTACAGACGTCGGAATAATGCTCTAGACGACAAAAATAATAGCCTTGGCTTTGTATATTACAGGAAAAATGTAGTGCAGATATTTCCTGGAATGTGCAAATATGAATGTAAAGTTTAAAACATGTTCTCAGCACTCTGTTTGCAGAAAAAACACACACAAAAAGACACAATTCTAATCAACTTTAAAGTCAATATTTGATTTGATCACCACTACTTTTCACACATTTCTGTACACATTTTGGTGGATCTTTTACTTTATTTTTTTACCATAATGAGTTGAAAACTTATTATGGTCTTTAGTAATAGTTCTCTGTGTTCTTTGTGTTTCAGGAAAGAAAATTGGCTCTTCTTTGTCCCATTCTCTGTCAAGATGATGCTCTCTGACGTTCACATATTGAGGGCCTGGGTCTGAGGATTTATCGGTGTTAACATTGAGTTTCAGTCCCACTCTCGTGTTCTTTGGCATTACCATTACCCTTTTTTAAGAATGGCTTTTGCACCGCTCTGCTTCTACGGCGACCATTTCAGATGAGGCTTCAGTGATCAGCAGACGGATCAACTGAAGTTTAAGATGCATCTCCCAGATTCTGTGTTAAGTTTTTGTTTGTCACTTAGATTTTCTCCCATCCTCTAAAAATGTGCTCTTCCCCTGCAGCTGATTTTTTTTTTTTTTTAGGCCTCATCCTTCTTTTGTCCTTTGCTTTTTCATTCTTCCCCTATAACCACACACAAACCAAGCCTGTGTCTGCTGTCATTAGGTGTGAGAGTGCTCCCTGGACAGCGACTAAACACACAGACAACAATCTACTCTCAAACTCATTAGTACTCTAAGGTCAATTTGGAGTCTCCGGTCACCGTCTCATGTTTTGGGACGGTGGGAGGAAGACCGTGCAAAGTCAACACAGTGAGCCCCCCAGTTGGGATTTGAAACCAGAACCCTCTTTGCTGTGACGGGGTGGTGTTAACCACCGCACTGCTGCGCAACATCTGGATCGGCTGTCAAGATCTGAGCAAAAATCTGCACGTTTTTACTCACTAGCCGCACGCTCTCGGTGCTGAAACAAAGCCCGACCGAAAAAATCTGTCACATTACATCAGGGCGATTACTCTACTACTCATCAATAGGCAGGAGGACGTCCGCATCTGGATGGATGACTCAGCCATGACGTGGTTGAAGCCTTCAAAGGGGATTTTTTTCTCAAAGAAAGAAGAATTCCTCACAAAGAAGTGTCCATTGGTCATTTTGTGCAGTGGTCCATTTGCTGTAATCATAAAGCTTCTAACTTTTGTAACCGTGTTTGGCCTGTTATCATCTAATGTAGTGTTTTTCAACCTTTTTTGAGCCAAGGTAAATTTTTTCATAGAAAAAATCTCGAGGCACACCACCAACCAAAATGTT